TACGGAAGGAGTTGGGTGGATGAGGACACCTATGCGAAGAGCAAGTCATCTGCTTTTCGCGCAGGAGTTGCAGCGACGTCACAACGACGCCGAGCTCTGATTGGCTCTCAATTAAGTATGCTGGATAGACCTCAAAGTAACCTGCCTTGATGTCTACCCACTATTCTTCAATCAGAGCCAATGAGGGCTCGACGTCGTTCTGACGTCATCACAACCCTCGCAAAAGGAGCAGATGAATTTGCGCTTCGCTTAATCCGTTTCACTCCAAGTCCGTCCGCAACCAACGCTCCAGTTCGTTCGAGTCGATCAAGCACTGCGAAAAGTGCATCGTCACGGCCCTCGTTGTTTTTCAGGGATATCTGTCAACAACTAAGCCAATCGCACACAAAAAAAATAAAAAGAAGAAGCGCACGTTTGCGGCGCATTACTGTTGTTCGCATGTCCAAGCCTCACTAGAGTGACAAACAGAAACAAACGACAGCGACAAGCCTCACAACAGAGACTTTCGCGTTTTAACGTGCTTTGTGGAATGAAGGAGGCTATACTCAACCACGAGCATTATGTACACGAGGGCATATTTGGCAGCCTTTCAATCAGTCGTGCTTATTTCACGAGCACCGAACGACTAAACGCCCTCCAAGGGTACCATTGCGAGCATGCTGCATATGTTTGAGGCTTGCTGCTGTCGTTTGTTTCTATTTAGGATAAAACCAGCTGAACAAACCAACCATACAGATGAGAGGGGAACGTAGTTGTAGGATTGGTTTGGTCAGCTGTATGGTTATTTTGTTCAGCTGGTTTCTGCCGAATATGTTTTACCAACGTTCCCAACTCTTTCCCGTCGTTTGTTTCTGTTTGTCGCTCTAGTGAGACTCGGGCAACACGGAAAGAATAAAACGCTGAAATGAACCAAGGACACAAACTAAGGGTGCTTTGGTCTCTGGATGTGATGAGGGAACTGGGAGTGTTTGTCCTTCCTCCGTTTCAGTGTCTTATTCTTTCTGCGTGACCTATAGTTTATCGAAAGCGCTCTGCTTACGTGTACTGCATTCCCTGTGCGTGATTGGTTTTGCTGGTGTTAGCAAACGCACAGACATCGTAAGCGTCAGCGGTTCTGACTTAACGTGAAAAGGAGAGAAAAAAAGAAAATCAGTTTGCAGATTGACACCGAGCACGAGCTTTTACTCCAGTCAGAGACGCCTTCCAGGTAGTTTTAGCATGCTCAGTGTCAGAGCGCATGGTGGATTATTAGTTATGATAGAAAGATATTTTCAATCTCGTTAATCGTCGAGCTCCGTCCGTAGGTTGCAGCGACTGGCTCTACATTGCGCAAAAGCAGACGTGCCAGACTTCTGAGACGCAATGCAAAGGGCGAGGGCTGTCAATTTCTGACGGTCGTGCTGGTACAGCGGCGAAAAATAAAAGGCCCACCCTTTTTGCTGCAAAGACCCCGCGCCCATTGAAACGCCATAACAAACCGCCGGCCTTCCTCATTTTCATCACTGAATGAAAAAAGATCAGTAACTGGTTTTCCGAGCCCAATGTGGGAAAATGCACACAGAGAGACGTTTGAGGTTTTAGGATTTAGATTTTGTACTGAGGCCAACCCTGTGCGTTCATTTGTTTGACCGCAACGTTCGTCAAAGCGTTTGCTCGGTCAATTGAGAAAGACCGACATTTTGAAGAACCGCATGTCCTTCTCGATGAAGGCGTCTTTCGTCTCAATAGCTGCTAAAAAGTATGCGCTCGTTATTAAAAGTGGCGTTTGGCAGCACGTATTCCCTTTGAATTTCCTTTGTATTTGGGGAGGGGAGCTAATGCTCTGCTACAGCCAATAGGAGTTCCTTTTGACTGGAGCAGAGCATAAACTTTGTTCTCCCGAAACAAAGGAAATAGCTAACAATATTCAATTCAGTCCGTAGCGTTCAATTGTCAACGTCACACTAAGGAGGTGACCGCGGGGCACGGATTGGACGCGAGTGCTGCATCAACCCTTGGCCGACGCTCGCAACCCCGCTGATTGGACACGAGTCCCAGCCGAACACTGACGAGAGACTCGTGACCAATCCGCACCCCGCGTTCGCCTTTTTATAGTGACGTAGAAACTTTACCACAAAGACCCTAGTTAAACTAGCGCTCTTAACCGTCATTAAGCCAACGACAGTTGACTCAATCGCGATCGGCCGTAGTGAGACGGTGGCGCCAACTGTCATTGAGCCGCTAAAGTCGGGATCACGCTGCTCGTACATCATACAGAAGGCAGTCTGCAAACACAAGCCATCGCAATGTCCGTAGTTCGAACGCCGCGTGCCAAGTTTCCTCCTTGAACTCACTGCAGTGCGACATTCGAAGCACGGGTCTCGCGGTAACTCGCGTTCAAATAGTGTGAGCCCGGCTTTACAGTCATTGTGTTCAACTGAGCTGGCCTACCTCTGTTAGAGCCACTAAATGAGCTGCGCTTAGAGTATCGCCACTCCGTTCCCCTACATTGTTGTGGGCGCCACCATTTTGGCTCGTATGCAGAGCAGACGCAACTGCCGATCATCATGATTCAAAAGTGCGACTTCCTCAGCATCACATTCGGTGTTAGGAATCTCATGTAATATTGCTTTGCTCTGTCGCGAACTATTTTAAATATTTCTAGAGGGCGGAGAAGTGTTTCTTGTGATTTAAGATAAAGCTTCAGATAACTGGCAACCATGATTTTAAGACGCAGTATGGCCAAGTGTCGTTACTCTGAAGCGTGCTTAATTAGTGGCACTAACCTCAGTTAAACTCTAATCCACGTTATGATGTACCGCAGGAAAGACTACAAACGCGAGCTCTTTGCTCTGTGGCACATCTCGCCGGCGCAAGCTCTCGAGGATCAAGGGCAGCTGCCAACGCTATGAGCTCGAGCTTCTAGCCTTCGCTGTGGTACAGCAAGATGAAGCGTAGTATATCTGATGGGGGTTCGCTCCAATAGAGCTAAAGATGGCGGCGTCCGCCACATCGCCGCCCATGGCCAGCGCCAGCGAAGCACATACTATTCTGGAAGATTAGGGGAGGTATGTAGAAAGTATCGTAGCATCAAATATTGTCCGAAGACGTATGATTCGGAGCCAGAGCTGCCGCTAGAATGATCGCGACACGTCGCCGAAGCCAAAGCTCTGCGAGGGCGGCCATGGTGATGTCCGTGCTGATAAGACTTTCGTTGTGTCCCTCTTGCTTGATTTCGCGTGAAACGTTCTGATTGCCATTTCATTACGCTAAAAACAAACTGAAAAACAAGTTGATTTTATTTTGTTTTAAGCATTTACAATGAGTTGCATCTAAGTTGTTTGCATCGCTATCAAAAAAAAAAAGTTACGACAGTTCTGGTTTCATTCCTGTTTTAATTGCGTCCCTTGACGCACATCTCAACTGGGGTTGCCTACGTACCGTGTAACATCGGACAAGGTAGTTGAGCTCAATGACAATCGAGAGATGCCAATGATCGTTGGCCTAATGACAGTTGAGGGCGCCAGTGTGACAAGGGCCTAAGTTCCTCTTATTTTGGTAATAATACACAGCCTGAACTTAGTCTGCCTCAATGGGCGTCTGGTGTTTCAGCTGTAGATGAGCAATTAAGCCAGTGCGGTACAACCGCTAGCCTGGGGTCATCAACGTGCACCACGCACTAGTGATACACGGCCGCATCCCGGTACGATGCTCATTCAGATCGAAACGGGCAAGGGCCTGGACTGAACTCATGATTTCTGAGTTCTGAAGCGCTAGCTTTCGCTCCACGTGCTTCGCGAGTTGGCATGCGCTAGCCCAGTCGGCCACCGATCCCCCAATCTTATTTATGTAGAGTCAGTGTCGTAGGCGTTATCGAAAAAAAGTGTCGAAAAATATTAATCGTTAGTTGCAATTAAAAGGAACGAGTTACCGACGTGCTTGACATCAAAATAAATGGAACGCGTTATCGCTACCGTTACCGATAAAAAGTCACGCTCGTCAGTTTTGCGCTACTTTTAATGAACGGATTGACGGCGACAGCGTTTTCGACACTATGACAAACTTTGCGGGCGTTGGGGTGTTTGCGTGTTGAAACGAGCGACATTTCGACGCGGAATGTAGGATGAGCTCAAGAGTTCATAAGATTTGGCGCCCAGGAACACACAAAAAAAAAGGCAAGTGTAAATATATGTATATATATATATATATATATATATTTTTTTTTTTTTCGGAAGAAGTTGTAACGGAGTAATGTAACTGTGTTACCTGTTACTCGAAAAGAGCCCCGCAACTGCGTTACTCGTTACTGTTTTCAAATGGTAACGAGTATGTTACAACGCTACCGGGAAAAGTAACGCGTTACCGGTAAAGCCGTTACTGGTGAGGCGTTTCCATCAACACTGGGTAGTGTTGCTTCTGGTGTAGGTGGCGCAAGGTACCGCCTGTTACAAAGGGTACAGCCATTAGACTTCATTCATCCATAGATGGGCGCAGGTACGAATATGCCGCCAAGTGCACCAAACATCTGGCGCTATTCGCTGTTCTTTTTCCAATCGTGGCTCTTCCGGCAGTTGTCACTCAGCTTTCTTTTGTACACGTGTATGAACGAAAACCGCGCCGCAAGCAACCCTGCTTCTCAGAGGCACAGTCACGCCCAGATTTTGATTTTGTTTTTCCGGCGAAGAGTTTTTTTTTTTTTTTAATTATTATTAATGTAGTTGGCAAACGGAGTATATTGAACGTCAGCGCTTTCTGTCAAACGGTGGATCACGTTTGGAAAGCAAATATATTTTTTTTCGTATGAAACGAGCAAAGGTATATATATAGTTGAGAAGAACTATAGTTCAAAATTGCTGGAATTCAATATTTTAGAAAATGGGATGATCGCCAGTTGGTATACCGCCGGTCACGTCGAAAGTATATGGGCGTGCTGACTTTCCTAGATAGTATACTAAGCGATAGAGGAGCACACACTCGCCGTACGAGTTTTCAATCAGCGAAATTGCGAAGCGTGCGTTTACCTGATTGGTGCGCCGTTGAGCTCATAATGGCTCCGCAGCGTACGCTGCCCGCGTCTCCTGGGATCCTGGTTCCTTTCTATCTTTGCCACCTCACACAAAAGTAAGGGAAGTGGCTCACTCGCGTTCCACTTCTTTCACAGAGGCTTGGATTCAGCAGACCGTCGGCCGTTGTTGCGATTTCCTGGGGCGCGAAAAGATGCCAGCATCCCCGCACCGTCCTCACACGGTACCCCAAGTCGATCAACGTGCAGATACGTTCTGTCCCACACAGAACGGCACTCGGATCGACGTGCAACGTTTAGATCAAAATTGTCCACAAAATCAAAAGAAAGATGCACCGTCAAACTCCGGCCCAGAACCTATACGTCTTCGCGCAGTCGACGAAACTGAGACTGACGCCGAAATAATCCGAAGCCGAGCAGATCTTCGAACACGACTTTCCTCCGACAAAGCTCGGGCGCGACGGAGGTGGAAACAAATTTATGGGAAAGGAAACGCGCCCGACACCGAAGCGGCAGCAGTCGCTGCAAATTCGCGACAGGTACACCTGAAGCAATCTGGGGAGGTTGCTCTAAGGTTGGCCAATGAGAGACCCGCACGGGCACCGCGAACGCGCGGGAAAGCGAAGGAAGCTCGAGCTACGCTTTATTTTTGTTACGTATTTTACGTGAAATACACGCATCTATGCTTCCTTCAACTTACGATGGAGCGTAGCAGGCGCCATGAGGCATTCCCTCCAGTCGAGTGCTGTGAACACCATTGCAAGCACTCCGCGCGCATCTTTGCTCCCTTCTAGGAAGTCACGCGACACTCGGACTGCGCTGGATTGGTTCAGATGGCTCGTCGCTTCCGCTGCGGTCCGTCCCGAGCTGAAATGGAGTATGGAAAGAAGGAGAGAAAAGGTGCGACGGTGCAGCGTCGGATAGGGCGAGGCCCGCAACACGCACCATTGATTTCCGTTCCGAATCAAGACTTCACCGGTGTCTCGTTCGCAAGGGTGAGAGAGAGAATTAGAGAGAGGATTAAAGAAGGGGACAATCGAGTACGAGCTCGTCGCCTAACTTCGTGTGACTGGCGAAGCGAAAGGAAGCGCGCGAACCATGTACTACTCCCTTTTCCGTGACAGAGTACGAAAAAACATAAACGGGCGATTTTTTTTTAAATTTTTTTTTTATGTTTTTGTTTCTCTTTGTTTTGGAAAATACTTGAACATATCTTGTACTCAGCGTTAATGAAGCACCTTTGCTCGATTATATTTTTGATTGAACATCGGCATGGTTTCCGTAAAGGTTTTTCATGTACGACACAGCTGATACAATTTCACCATGATATCGGCGTTCAACTTGATAACAAGGGCCAGGTTGACTCTATATTCCTTGATTTTAGAAAGCCATTCGACACTGCTTCTCATTCAATATTACTACAGAAGCTTGCAGATTTAAGTGCTGATATTACTGTTAGACGATGGATAAAAGACTATTCAACTTTAAAGCAGCAGAAAGTATCGGTAAATGAAGCATGTTCGGGCCGTGTTTCTGTTACATCCGGCGTACCACAGGAATCGGTATTAAGGTCACTTCTTTTTCTAATTTTTAATAAAGATATTTCATGTGGTATTGAGTCTAAAATGCGGTTATTCAATGACGATTGTGCTGTGTACATATGTACATATCGGCGTCTGTCTGTGTACATATCGGCGTGTACATATCGGCGTCTAAAACGAGTTTAAAGATTGTGTATAACTAATAGAATAGCCTTTAATATTATTAAATGGGTTCATGTTTGTTTCATAAGAAAACGCAAGAAATTTATTTTTCACTACTTCCTCAACAATCAAACAATCGGGACTGAAGCCACATATAAATATCTGGATGTGATATTGGCTGAAGACGGGTCGTGGACAGCGCAAGTGGATAGCATGGTTGGCAGGGCAGGCGAGGGTCTTAGTCTTTTTACAGCGTAATTTAAAACATGTAGGTAAAGAGCTTGAGGCAGCGTATAAGGCATACGTCAGGCTGATTTTTGAATATGCATGCGCTGTGTGGGATCCGTTTTATCAAGTTTGCATCAACGCGCTCGAACGGATTCAATCTGTCGCTGCTAGTTTTGTCCAGGAGAGATACGATCGCTTCCTTCGCACATCTGCAATGAAAAGGGAACTGGGCTGGGTACCTTTAAAGGAAAGGCGTAAAAATCTTCGAATCAAGTTGTTTTATTTAATTTATTATAACCAAACAGGGGTTCGTGTTTCATCGTTTTTACGTTCACCTAATTACTATCCATCACGAATAGATCATTGCTGCAAGGTTCGACCGTATATACTTACGAAAAATATTCTTAAACATTTTTTTCTTTGCCAGGACCATTGAAGAATGGAATTCTTTACAGGCGGAAGTGGTGTGCCGTGCTAATGCTGATGAATTTTACAAGTATTTCCCCCCGCTGTAAGGCCTGCAAGGCGCTGCGGGTTTCTCTCGAATAAAAATAAAGAAACTAAGCTTTAGTTTAAGCGACCCAATGGCAAAGGTTAATGTAGAAAGAATATGTGCTATCTTCTTGTTGCACAACGATATAATTAAGTTTAGATTGTCCACTAACAAAAACCGTATTCAAGCAACTGCATGACGATAACGTAAGGTTCGCGACTCCTACATTTTTCTTTACTCAATGTCAGCGTATTTTTCACGCTCTCGAATCACCGCGATAATAAAATTCAACGCTAGAGGAACGAGCGCGTTTCGTTATAACAAGACTAAAATAATCGTAATTTACTTACAAACCTACAGATTATACATTACCAACAAACACAGCTCAAGGTACACCTAAGCATTTCTTATGAGTTGCGAATGCGAAAGCAAACAAGCCGCTCGTCCGCTCCCTTTGTCGTCTGCTGCGTACTAGCGCGCGCGCGCTTCGGAATCTCGGGTGCCATGGCGCAGCGGCCAATGGGAGCCCCGGACGCGCGCCAGCCAATGGATTTGAAGGCGAATCGCTCCTATTGCGATCGCCGAAACTAGGAGCTGTTTTCGTGCTTCAAACTGACGACGTCAACTCGCTCCATAAAGCAGTTAATGCTTTCGCATCAAACTGAATGCAAAACTTTAACCTTGGCGGAAAAATTACCAGCATCATAGAGACCCTTTGCGTTTAAAGATTCAGATCCGCTGCACACTTATGAAGTTATTAATGCCTCTTCTTGGACTTTGTGTAGCTTCATTAGACCGATCTCACCTGCGAGCTTCGTTAGGCCGCCGCTACCGGAATGCATCATGGGAATTGTAGTCTTTCTGCAGGCGCGACAACCCTGCTGCTGGTCGGCACGAGCAGACCCCTTTACGTTTGCCTGCCTCCAGTGAACAACAATTATGGCGGCGTCACGCATGCGTGGAAAGCTCGGTGAAATCGGTCTATTAGAACTCGAGAGGTGTCTTTCTCCGTACGAACATTTCTATCAATCAGTAGCTCTAATTGACTTCGTTATAATGATCTACAGTCCAAAAGAGAAAAAGACCGTCACGCATAGTTCAGCGCTTCACAGACAAGCAGACTCGAGGCTGGTGGTCAGTTTCCCAGAAATTCAAATTTAGACGTAGGTGATCATACTAGTATGTTCTTGAAAAGTTGGGGAGAGCCGTCAGGTGTCGAAGTGTCCTGTCGCCGTTCACGGCTGGTGAATCATGCGCCGAGACAACGAGGACAACGGAGAACTTGCGTAAAGGCATCGAAATGTGCTTATTCGATATGCGGACGACACACGCCCCCGACCAACCCTCGGGACCTCTCCCGTTAACCGCCTCTCCGGAGAGTAGCCAAAAAAAAAAAAGAGACTATCGCCCAGAAAAGGAACGTTCTGGTCTTTAGGCAACGCGTGGCTATACTGGTTCAAAATTTTAAATATTCTTTCTGGGCTTGTGCGAATAATTCTAGCATTCTCTATACTGACAAAGCTTGGCAGATCGCCACGAGACGCGGCCGCCGAAAGTGAAAAGGTAAAGCGGCAGACAACGGATGAGAGGAGAGTCATGTAACGGACGCCCCGCAGAAGCAAGACGCCGAAACACACTTCTACCATAAAAAGGTTGATACCGTAATAACAATTCTTATCATGTTTAACACTTCTCCCGAGCGATAGAATCTCCACTCGTGCTCTTCGCGTTCCTCACGCTAACTCTTCTTTTCTCGTCGGGTTTAATAGCCATGTTTCGGGTCCTCGCCGCTGCGAAAGCTGTGCGCTGACTAAAGGTTCCCAGAGAAATGCTCTGTGATACCAGATCCTTGCGCTTCAAATCTGCGACCGGGCACTCTGTGGCTCCGTCGTCGAACTGCCAGGCTTTGTGAGTATAAAAAAGGCTACGGCGTAACGTGTTTTTCTTCTTTGACTCTCTAGTTTTTGCAATTATAAAAATAGTGAAAACCATACAAAAGTGTTTGATCTCATTGCTTCAATTTTTAAACATCTATGTTTGACTTGCGCGAATAATGCGTGGCTGTAGATGTCTGTGATTTTTTTTTTTTTTTTTGCGATTACTTATATAAACCCCGGAGTCTAAATGAATGTTAACGATCCAGATGGAACATGTAGCCCACATCTTCTGGGGGCGTATTTCACGTTGTGAGTGACCTGGTTATGTCCCAATCCGGCTGAAGCCTCAGTTCGGTTATTGCCTCAATTCGGCTAGAAGTTTCGATTCGGCTGTTCGCTCCAGCTCGGCTACATCCTCAGATCGGCTAGAAGTTTCAATTTTAGTGAGCACTTTATTTCGGCGACATCCTCAGTTTGGTTAGAAATTTCGATTCGGCTACACGCTTTAGTTCGGCTAGATCTTCAGTTAAGCTACAAGTTGTAATTCGGCTGCATGCTTCAGTTTGGCTGAATCCTCGTTTCAATTCGGCTAGACTGTACAAGTTAATCGAGTTTGACATCCAAACATAAGGTGCCCCCAATTTCGTAGAGAGGCGTTAACTATATCCGCATCTCGCCTAAACATTGCAACCTGCGAGTTCAAATCAATAAGTTCAAGCAGCTAAGAAGGCTTTGGACATAGAAA